TTGGCACAGCCAAGACATGGGGCAGGAAGGAGCCTGGTGCAAGTGTGCAAGAGGCTGAGAGGAGCAGCAGGCCCGGCCTGGGCCTGAGGCTGGGTAACAGGGAGCAGAGTGCGCTGAGGCCACAGTGCACAGGGTCAGGGAGGGAGGAAAGGCCTGGTGTGCCAATTCTTGAAGCCAGACTGGATCCTGTGGAGGGTAGAGGCACTGCCCTAACTTCAGGAACCCATGTATAGTGTTCTTGTGAGCAGGAGAGTCTGGGTAGGGAAAAACCAGCAGGTGGACTACCCACTTGAACCTGCTCAGGACAGTCCCCTAGCCCAGTGGGCCTCATGTTTTAGTCTGCAGTGGTATCACCTGGGGGACTTAAAACGGATTCCAAATTCCCATCCCTAATGCTGATCCAGCAGGAGTGGTAGACATGAGGAACCACCCAGCCCCTATCCTCAGTCTACATGGCCTGGGAAGGATAGACTCCACCCCTCTATTTTCTTGGCTCCTAGAGGTGGGTACATGTCGTGGGTCTGGCCAGTTGGTCACAGTGACTGGTTCAGTGAGGAGTCTGTGACCAGACTGGCCACTGAGCATCAGCCTTAGGCTTTTTGCTGGAACATTAGAGACCAGACATTTTCTTCTGCTAAATAGAAAGGATACTAATTGCTTGGGTGGTAGGATCATAATACATAACGACAGCCAATACTACACGCACGCTAACTGCCAGTTTCACTATTCCTAAGACCATTACATACGCCATCATGGCAACCCCAGAGTAGGTGCTATAGGCCTATGATTCTTACTTTACAGGTGAGAAAACTGAAATATTAAGAGGTTAAGTGACTTTCCCACAAGCTAGAAGTGGTTGAGCTGGGACTTTAATCTTACAGTCTTGCTCCAGAGCCTGTACTCTGAACCCTTTCTCTCTGCTGCCTCTGCACGAACCAGGAGGTTCTGAGCACCACTCCGTGGAGAACAAGCCAAGGCAAAGGAAAGCTGAGGGAAGACGTGGAGGGCAATCAAGTCTGATGACACTGTTGGAGGCTCGACACAGCTGCACCTGAGGGCGGGGCCCTCGGGCTGTCAGCAATTTCAGTCAATAAATTCCCTGTCTTTGTTGACACTGGTTTGACTGGATCTTTGTCCCCTGATACAAAGACAGTGCAGGGTCACAACATATTTGATGTGGGCTCGGGGTGTTACCTGGGGCACTGCGGGTCCACCCTGCTTCTCAATCAGCCTTGAGTGCATGTCTCCTCCTGCCTGCCCATCCTCTCTCAGCACAGCTAAGCCCCAACCCAGACACAGAGTAAGTGTACTCAGTGATCTGGTCCATCCTCTGCCCTGGGGCAGGACTCCTCCCACACTCTCCTCTGGGACCCCAAGAGAACCCCAAAAAGAGATCTCCGTGCTACTCTCTCCTCCTCGGGAGCTGTTGCTTGGCCCAGACACAGGAAGGGACCTCAGTTAAATCCTCCTTGCCTGTGCCTGCCCCCACGCACCTGCCGCTGGGACTCGTAGAGGATGCGGTCCATGGTGTTGAGCAGTGTCATGCTCTTGTAGAACTTCAGGACCTCCTTCTGGGGTAGCTGCAGATGGAGACACAGACGGGACAGTTGGGACCAGAGAGGAAACAGGCAAGGGACGAGGAACAGAGCAGTGGTGGGGTGGCAGCCTCTCACCTCAGGGTCTTCGCTTGGGTTGATGATCTGGCCCTGCCGGTCCATGACACGGTAGATGGGGATTCCAGAGATGACATTGGGCTGGATGAATTCCAGCTTGTCTACAAACTCTGCTGAGGCCCCCGGGAACCGGGGCTTGTCATCCAGGGATGAGAACTGCTGCTGCTGCCTCCAGCGGTGCTAGGGAGAGAGAGGTGGAGGAGATGCAGGAGCGGCTCTGCACTTCCACCGGGCTCAACATCATGGCAGCAGGCAATATGGCACAGTGGTCAAGTCACTAAGGCCCCAGGGGACTCTGGGGCCAAACCCACAGGCCTGAAATCCAGCTCTCCCACTCTCTTATTGTGTGACCTTTGGCCAACTACTATAACTTCTTTGTAGCTCTGTTTTATTATCTATAAAAGTGCCACAAAAGTAGTATCTATCCCACAGAGCTGTTGTAAAGATTAACACTCAATAAAGTGGCAGGGAGCGAACTTGCTCTGTAAACTTTCACCCAAATCACAATAAAAAGTGAAAAAATAAAAATAAAGTGGCAGGGAGTAAGCCCTCAAGAACTGATGGTATCATTATAATGAAGGCCTCAAACTCTTCCCCTTGGCATTCCAGCCCTCCCCAGTCTGGC